GGGGGGGGATAGAGGTAAGCTACAGAGGGGTTAAATCTGAAAACATAAAAAAGGATGAAGCTGGAGGAGGTAGGAATAGAGGATAGAGGGTTATGCGGAAGAAGAGTAGGAAAATGCTGGGGCTACCAATAATAGAACGGAGGTACATAACAACAGTGTACATAGAGTCATGGAAGACTATATACAGCAATTAACGGATAGGAGAGGGGGCAAAGATCAGATAAAGATTGGAATGGCCCAGGGTCATCTGAGAGATAGACAAATGTATGATAGGAGGAACTGGGAGCTAGGCAAGGCTTGGAGTGGCAGAAAACAGTTGTTGATGGGATAAGCCGCCCCAGGGACTGCTCTGAAATGTTCCCCCGCACGCCAAGCCCTGCGATGGCACACCCAATTGCGTGTCTGGGTGGTGCTAGTAAGCCTCCCGGCCAATAGTGTGATCCACCGTGGAGGGACAAAGGCTTGGCGTCGGAAGTACACAAGCAGCCCCCCCTTTTTTAGGCGGCTAGTGCCATGAGGGTTGGGCTGATCTTCTTTTTCTCGTCTTTTCTTCTATTTGTCTTTGTAAGAACATGCTTGCCGGGGGTAAGTAACCGGACTGGTGCCCCCCAGAATAGAAGGGGCTTGCATGTTATAAAAACAAACAAACAAACAAACAAAGAAACAAAACAAAACAAAACATGGTGGGGTGCGCAGCAGCGCCACACTTCATTTGAGCCTATGTTCGTGTTTTGCATTTCGGGGGTGCCTGGGGGTCTGGTGGGGGGCAGGGGTTGCCTATGCCGGGGGTCGGCGGTGGTGGTGCCGGGGTTTTGGGGCAGGGGTCTCGGGGTCCCTCATGCTCTCTCTCTGTCTCTTCTCCCTCCCTCTCTATCTCACACACACATACACACACACACACACACACACACACAACCCCCGTGGTGGGGGGGCTGGGGTCGGCGGCAGGTTTCGGAGTCCTGAGGTGGGGGTCGGTGGTGAGGGTGTGGAGGTGGGAACCAGGGTGCGCGTGCCAGTGTCCGGGGTTGGGGGTGCCAGGGTCCGGTGGTCAGGGTGCCGGGGTCTGGGGGCGGAGTCGGTGGTCGAGGTGCCGGGGGGGGCGAGGTCCGGGGGTGGGGCTGCTGGGGTGGGGAGTGGTGACGGGGGTGGGGAGTCGCCCGTCCCCGGTCAGTGGTCGGCCACCCCTGGGCTGGGGATCCGGAG